CCCTACTATTAATGAGTTGGGGTTAATTTGGGTCTTAAAGTCCTGTAGTATTGTTTTTATGAAGTTGGGTGCACCAGAGTTTAGTGAATATATGTTCATGATTGTAATATCTTCTCGATTTATTGTTCCTTTGATCAGAATGAAGTGGCCCTCTTTATCTCTTCTGATTAGTTTTAGTTTAAAGTCTATTTTGTCAAATATTAGAATTGCAATGCCTGATTTTTTCTTAGTCCCATTCTCTTGGTATATTTTTTTCCATCCTCTCACCTTAAGATAGTGCCTGTCCTTGAAAGTGAGATGGGTTTCTTGCAGACAATGAAAAGATGGGTTTTGTTTCCTAATCCATTCACCTAGTCTGTGTCTTTTGACTGGGGCGTTCAATCCATTAATATTTAAAGTTATTAATGAAAGATGTGTATTGAATCCTGCCATTTTTATTTCTGTTTACATTCTTGATATAGCTGTACTTTTCCACAGTTATATGTTCATTGAATTTCTTTCTGCAATCCCTTGGGTATAGTCATTCCTTTCTTCAGCTCTTTCTATTGCTTCTAAACTCTCCGATTGTGGACCTGAATTTCTTCACCCCATTTATGTCATGGAAGATTTTTCTTTTCCCTTCGATTATAATAGGCATTTAGGCTGGGTATAGTAATCTGGGTTGGCATCTGTGGTCATTTCAGACTGGGAATACTTTGGTCCAGGCTCTTCTGGCTTTCATCGTTTGCACTGAAAAGTCAGCTGTAATCCTAATGGGTTTTCCTTTATATGTGAATTGTTGTTTCTCTTTTGCAGCTTTCAGTATTGTCTCTTTGTTCTGTATGCATAGTGTTTTTACTATGATGTGCCGTGGAGAGTTTCTTTTCTGGTCCTGTCTGTTTGGTGTTCTATATGCTTCTTGTATTTGTATGGGTCTGTCTTTCTTTAATTTTGGGAAATTTTCTTTCACGATTCTGTTGAAGATCTGGTCCATGCCATTATCTTGGGATTCTTCTCCTTCCTGTATGCCTATGATTTGTAAGTTTGGTCTTTTTTATGGTGTCACACAGTTCCTGCATGTTCTATTCTTGTGCTTTCTTAAATTCTTCATAATCTTGCTTGATTGGTGTAGTTCGTCAAGTTTATCTTCGAGTCTTGATACTCTGTTTTCCATTTCGGCCATCGTATTGGTGAGTCTTTCTCCTTTCATTTCTAATTGGCTTACTGAGTGTTTCACTTCCCTCTTCATTTCAGCCTGAGTAGTCAATATTTCTAGCTCTTTTCTGAATTCATTCAGAAGTTTATCCCCATCTTCCTTCAGTTCTTTGATTTCTTTGTTTGTGTGTTCTTTAAATTCACTGAATTTTTTTATCATGTTTATAATTTTCTTTTGAGTTCCATGTCCTGCATTATGTGTAAGGGGTTCTTATTCTACTCCTCTAGAGCAGTATTGGTATTTTGTGGGGATATGTTATTTTGGTTTTTCATGTTATTTTTTCCTCTGTGATTTTTGACATGTGAATTTCTTTTGTAGTTTCTGATTCTTGTGTGAGTCTCAAGTCTTCAAGTTTAGGTCTGCTTCTTTTTGCAAACTTTATGTGCCTTTGTGGTTTACTTTTGGGGTATGAAAAGCTGGTTTTTCTAAGCTTCTGGTTCTCCCTTTTGGTGTTTATTTGGAGTTGCCAGATTGCTTTTGTCTTCAGGAGAGGCCCAAGCCAGATGAGGATCAGATGTTCTCAGGCTTTCTCCTAATGTCTGGATCCCTCCAGGAAAATTTTGGCCTCAGGAATTTGGGGGTTGGACTGGCCTGGGAGCCAGGCCCCAGAAAGATACTGGTCTTAGGTAGCTGGTAGACGTGACACTCAGAGATGCAAAGAGAGATGGGGGCGGGAAGAGGCCCCAGGTGCTACTGGGGACTGCACTGAGGACTTGGGTTGGTCTGGATGCAAAGGATCAAGAAGCCAACAGGTCAGCCCTGGCATCCAGGAAAGAGGCTGGTGGGTTGTGCAGCCCAGGGAAGCAGAGGGAGGTGAGGGCAGGACCAGGCCCAGAGTGCTCCTGGGGACCTGAAAAAGGAACTGGGTCCACCTGGATGCAAGGATCAGGAAGCAATGGTGGCCACAGGCCGAGAGGTCCACCCCGGGGTCTAGGAAATAGGCCTGCGGGTTGTGCAGGCCCAGGGAAACAGAGGGATATGAGGGTGGGACCAGCCCCAGAGGGCTCTTGGAGACCTCTAGAAGGAACTGGGTTGGTCTGGATGCAAAGGATCAGGAAGCAGTGGTTGTTCCCCCGCGTCTGGGGCGCCAAGACAAGGAATGAGACAGGACCCAGGCTAGGAGGAGAAAGGGGCAGGGAGATGGGAGGATGAATGAAGCTGGGGGAGTCAAGGTGTGGAGGGTGCAATTGACTTACCTGGAGAGTGGCTGGTGGGTTGTACAGGCCCAGGGAAGAAGAGGACCTTTATATTTTTTAAACTAAAGTGGTGTCTATTGTATTGGGAATGTCCTAGGCCTTGTTTCTTTGGACTGAGTAGCTCAATAGTGAAGAAGCATTCCTACCTCAGTTTTTCCCACTGGTGCATGAGGAACTAGGAGAGATATTTTAATGAATGCATGTCTTTTAAAATATTTATGTAAAAATTATTGTATTTTGAGGTATTCTGCCAGTTAACATAATCTTGCTCCATGTTTACCTTGTGTTTACTTTTTAGGGGAAGGTTGCTGAGCGTGGTACCCACTATGGTTTGCTTGCTAATTCTGGAAGTATCTATTCAGATATGTGGAATACCCAGAGCAGCCGTTTGCAGAACCATGATAACCTCAAATGGGATTCAAGGAAAGAAAGTATCTCTAAGGAAGAGGAAAGGAAGAAACTACAAGAAGAAATTGTCAATAGTGTGAAAGGCTGTGGAAACTGTTCCTGCTAAGTCACATGAGACACGTTCTTTTCTGTTTGTTTTGTCTTGTTTCACTTTGGAATACATACACATTTGCACTGAAGCAGAACTGTTGAATTAAAACAAAAATCATGCATTCCCATTTTCCTTAATCCCTTTAAATAAGATTTATTTAAAGAGGGTTAGGTTTCACAATCTGTTGAATGTGGCATCGGTAATTATCTCCAAATTATTTGTTACTGCCAAGTTGTTGCAATTTGACTTAACCCTGTTTGAAGTCTGATATCCATCTAATACCCCTAACCAGAAGAATCAATTGATTTCCAAATTTATGTTGTTTTTAGAGCCGCCTCTGTGCTAAGAAATTGTAGGGAGAGTGTCTTTTACTTAAAATTAAACAAGGAAAAAGAACAGTGTAGGTTTGTTTCTCCTCTCTCTACCCTCCAACTGAATATTTCCTTGATGTGAAAATTAGTTTAGAAACACAGTTAAAGTTAGAACTTGCCAAAAATACGCATGCTTTGGATGTTTTAGATACCTATGCTTACAGCTTTTAAACCATTTCCATTTACGCCCTTTTTATTCTCATGTTGATGTGTAGAATATTGTCTTTATCCACAATTGTAACACTTGTTTGAATTTTATTTTTCCATGAAAGTGAGTCGTTGCTTTTGTTTTGGACCAAAATTTATGCATTTTTCTTTAAAGACTCACAAACCTGGATGGAAATCATTTGAGACTTACTATATTGGGAGTAATCTCAATAGCCTAGGAAGTTAATACCCTTTCCTATTTCATCTTAAATGCACTTCTTTTACTATCTGAAATTATACATAGAGGATATCGTGCATCCACATATGTGTGTGCGTGCTTGTACAGGTATATAAATCAGTGTCAACTTAAAAAGGAGTCTAAGCAATATAATCAAGTTTTACTTGGAAAAAAAATAGAAAAAAAAGGTTTTACTTGCTAGAAATAATTAATAAAATGATGGCATATGTTCACTTAAAACATTGTTTTCCTTGCACCCAGACCTATAGCCTCAGCACTTGGGAGGATAAGCCCAAAAATTCAAGAGTAGCCTTGTCAATATAGTGAGACCCTATCTCTTAAAACTAAAAAAGAAAATGAAAAGTTCCTCTCATTTCAGTTTCAATTTAATTTGTTTGATAGTGCTCATTCAATTTTAAAAACTTATATGTATCAAGAATGACCACATAATCTTCTGTAATGTGGTTTTATTTCTCAGGAACGATTCTAAATTGCTTATTGCTTTGTGGTTTTAATGCTTTTTAAATGATAATTTAGTATGAGAGATATTAATATTTTTTGATTTGTATTGTTGGCAATTGTGAATAAATATCTTTTGTTATATAAAGATAATTTGATAATCTTGGGCCAGTATTTCAGAGTTAGTCTTTCATACCAAAGTAAGCCATGCAGGATCTTGCTTTTAAAGCTGAAGTTAATGCTGCGATGTTTCATGAAGTGAAAAATAAATTTTGTTTCGTTGATATTTCTTACTCTAAAAGACATATTGTTGCTGTTCTCAAGGGAAAAAGCATTTCCTTTCAGTAAATCAGCTACATTATTGGAAATGTAATTAGACTCTAGATGGAAATTTTGCTTCTCTGTTACTTATATATCCAGTGATGCTGTTGGAAATTGAGCTTAGGTACATGGGTAAGCATATGTGAATGAAATAGTCATTAGTAATAATTCCTTTTGAAGTGTGAAGAGCAGTTTTCAAAGCAAGTTATTTTGTTATATGGGGAACATTTAGTTTAAAAAAGTAGGAATATTTTCAGGGTAGGGATTAATTTACCCCCACTAAGAGATTTGGGAACTATTTTCCTTTCATATGATTGTAGATGGTCCCTAGGCCACTGTGGTTATTAACCTGTGTTTTCAGCTAACCAAAACTTAAATTACCTGAAAAACACAGTTAGTGGAGAAACCTTAAGTCTTAAAGATGTCTCTCTTAAAACCACGTCATAATTAGGTGGTTCTCTAAAGGGAAATTATAGACAGATTACAATGAAAGAAACCTTCCTAGGATGACTCAGTCATAAGAAATGCCAAGAAAAGGGCATTTAATTATAATATACTAATTTTACATTACAACACCACATACTTAAACAAAAGGACAATGTGTGTAAAATTTTAAGTCAGTGTTGCAGTGATGTTTTTAACATATTGGGATGAATAAGTGTAGATTTAGAACTGAGCTGTGAAAATGAAGCAATATGATAGGGGTTTACTTCTTATCTCTTTATTTTGAAAACTGAAAATTTTTACTTTCTTAAGGAAATCCCAGTTTATAAAAATGAGCTTGAAACCAAGGTAATTTAGGATCATAAAAACTGGGCCAGATGCCTTACTGAAGTAAGGTTTTTAACATAGAACTATCGTGGTGAGCAGATGGCCTCATTTACAAATTTTTTTAACAGCTCAAGTCAGGGTCACTTGTGATACTCAGAAAGAAACCCTCACATTTGTACATGAAGAAGCTTGAGATATGCATTGACTTTTCCTCTGCAGGGATTTGCACCTTTTGTATACCTTAAGATTAATTTTTGTCTTTCCTGTCAATGTTGATAAGTCTCATTTCATGAGGATGGCTACTTTTTTAAAAAGAAAAATGTTTGGCTTTAAAGGCCAGGTATTCAAAAACTGTATGATTCTATGCTCCTAGATTGCTTTTTTCATACAGCCATCTTCTATCCTTCCTACCTGCCAAATATGTCACTGAGTATCAATTTTCTCTAGTGTATATTCATAATTCTCTTGTAACTTGATTATAGGGTATTATGTTGTAAATTAGCAGTTGAATATGTTTGTAATTGCAGTTTGTTTCCAATTATAGAAAAGTCCTGTCTTTTCCATTCTCTGAGTATATTGATTTGAAATGTACTGTAAGGTAAATCAAAATGTTGAGTAAAATGAGCCGGGTAAAACTGGTTAAGACAAAAGAGCTCAATGAAAGAAGCCCTTAACCACAGTTCTCTTGTTTATAGAAATGTCCGTGGCTAATCATTACTGAATAAACATTTTTGTGCCTAGAAATGAGTGTCTGTTTGAAACAACTCTTTTTTGCAGGGTTTAGTGAAAACTGATGTCTTGTTACACACTCAAAATAAACACATAATTAATAGACACTCTGGGAATGTGGCCTTCCAGCCTTAGGCAGAAGGTGGAAACTTGGCATTGTTTCAGAAGAAAATATTTGTAGAGCTCATAATGTTGGTAAAATAGTAGCAAATTACAGTATTTTTGTTTTGCATTAACCCACATATTTTTGATAGCAAACCAGTGAAAGGGCCCTACTTTCTCACTTGTCGCCAGTTCCTAAGTTATAATGTTGAGGAAGGAAACCTTTGGATAGAGAAATATCTTGTCTTCAAAACACTCACTAAACTGGCATTTTGATTAGCTATGTAGAGTTGGAAATGAATTGAGTGTTCTAATTAAAAGCATATTGGAGTTTTTGCTAAAACTATAGTTTTTTTTCATATTTCATGCACTCATATAGCCACAGTAAAAACATTGCTCACTAGTGTCTTTATTCTGTTTCTGGTTCATAAAATCATAGGAATTTAGGGTTGGAAGGGATTTAGAGGTCATTTAATAAGATTTTTTTCATTCTACAAATGAGAAAGCTGAACTTCAAGAGAAACCATTGAGATTGCCGGAGGCCACGCTGATTCCTGATAGTCAGTTCTTCCTTATGCTGCACCACATTTCCACTGAGAAATTACATTAGAAAATAAATTGGAGGGCAGAACTTGAGAATGGAGAAGTAAGGAGCTCACCAGGCCCTTCTTCCAAACAAAGCAACAATTTAACTGTTTTAAAAATATAATTTTAGGGACTGGAGAGATGACTTGGCTGTTAAGAACATATACTGTTCTTTCAGAGGACCTGAGTTCTGTTCCTAGCACCCACCCATTATTAGGCAGCTCACAAGTGCCTATAACTCCAGTTCCATCACAGTCCAACACCTCTTCTGGCCTCTAGGCACCTGTACTCATGTGCACATGTCCACAGACAGACAGACACACATACAAAATTACAAAATAAAAATGCATCTTTTTTAAAAAGGTGTTTTAGAAAAGGTAGTCATTGACACCTTCAAAACTGTCCTAAAGGCTTACAGGAAATGGAGAAACATTTAAGACAGTCTATTAAGTCTTGGTAAGAACAGAAAGACACTGTGGCCTTTGAGGAATGATGCACTCCATATGCTCAGTGCCGGAAGCTCTTCCCTGGGCATTCTGTTCTGAACAGGTTTCATAAAGATGTGAAGATAGTGGGGATACGTAGGATGCCCTCATCCCACAGCTCCCAACTTGGGGCTGCAGTTTTACTCTGTCAGTGAAAGCTGCCTGCATTCCTTATCTGTCACTCTACTCTTTCCCAAATAGATGTGTCTTAGCCCATTTTCTGTTGCTGTAACAAAATACTTGAGGAGTGCTCAGCCCTAAATGGGACTTCTGTATGACATGTCTTCCCAAGGCTCAAGGATGATCTTGGTGAAGAAGGGAAGGAAAGACTGTATGAGCCAGAGTGCAGTGGATGTTTATAAGGAAACACTGTTTTCCAAACACAACATGGTAGTTGCATATACGAAGTCATAGCAGTTGTGGCAGCATGCACAAGACCAATGTAAGCTCAAGCTAAATAGTCCCAGAATGAAGCGGGGAGGTAGCCACAGAACTGAGGAGCTTGTGGCATTTGATAGCTAGTAGGAGAGGAAGAGTCCGTTTTCTTCAAGAATGTGACCCCTGGTAGAGTGACCAAATTCCAGGAGATGGACCCACACCTAAGAGTATATGGGTAGTAGAAATTGGATGAGATAGATTTAAAAACAAAATGAGAACACAGAGCTGGATCAGTAGGGAAGATGGATGAATCTGGAAGGAGTTGTGAGAGGGAGGGTTGAAGATGATCAAAATATGTTGCATGAAATTCTCAAGGAACTAATTTGTATTTGGTTTTTTTTTTTCTTTCTTTTTCCTTTTGAAACAGTCTTTCTGTAACCCCAGCTGGACTGGAACTTACTATGTATACCAAGCCGGCCTCAATCTCACAGAGCTCTGCCTGCCTTTGCCTCCTGAGTGCTGAGATTAAAGGTGCACCATGCCAGCCAAGGAGTTAACTTTTTTAAAATATTTTATTTTATGTGTATGAGTGTTTAGCTTGCATGTATGTAAGTGCATCCATTTTGTGCAATGCCTGTGGAGATCAGAAGATGTCAGATCCCTTGAAACTGGGAGTTAGTATAGTTGTTAGCTGCCATGTGGGTGCTGGGAATTGAACCCAGGGCCTCTGCAAGGGCAGTCAGTTCTGTTAACTGCTGAGCCATTTCTCCAGCCCCAGGAATTATTTTTTTTAAAGGCTAAAACATACTTATTTGGATATGGTCCTGATCATATGATGCTGATGTCTGTTCAGCATTTGATGAGGGCCTTTTTACTTTGTGATAGCAAGGTGGAAGGTATCATACAGTAAGATAGAGCAAGCATGCTTGCTCAGGTCTAATAAAGACAATGGTGCCATTATGGGTGCTCTACCATCATAATCTTATCTCAGTTTGCTTCCCAAAGACCTCCCCTGACACCACCAAATACTATTAACATGAACTTAAATGTTCAAGACATGAAAACTTGGGTTACACATTCAAACCATAGTTGGGTAGAAGCTCTGTTCCATATATAGGCTGGGAACAATGAGAACCTTTTTCTTCTCCAGCTTGTTCATAGGTTGGAGGTTTCACTCAAAGGTGGTTCTGCTCTAGTGCAGTTCAGTGTTTCAGAGTTTCTGCTCAAGTGGAAATAAATGTGATTAGGGCAAAGAACACCCTATCTCCACCTTTGAATACTGACTATATTTGGAACAAAACTTGGGGAACTTCTTCAGTATGGTCACTGTCAAAAGCAATGTGAGATCTTGGTGAAGTTCAACTAGGAGGAGCTAGCACAAGCAAAACAGAGAACAGAAAATTAAAGAGAAAAATGAAAGCAGTAACCAAGAAGAACCCTCCTGATAGCAAAAAATTTAGGGGCTGAAAAGACCAGGCACATGCATTGGACAAATCCTCCAGGAGATTAGTTTTTTTAATTGCCATAGGACTCTCAAAAATATCCAGTTACAATATATATTTTCTTTCATATATATGAAAGAAAATAAGAGTGAGAGCCAGACATACAGGACACTGCCTTAGCAGGGCAGTGAGGGAACAGTGATCATCACATACGAAGAAATCTCAGGTTTCCAATGTGTAGTTTTATCAGGAACAGACAGGCCAGAAGACAGTGATGAGAAGCTGAGATTGTTGAAATAAAAAACTGTCAATCAAGAACAGTATATTTTGGGGAGTTATGCCCACTTGTGCAATAGTGGCATGACTGTTATGGGGGAAAACAACTATTTTCTGCTTGGATTTGAGGCCCACTCCACAGGAGGGAATTCATGCCTGGTACTCTAAACCTGATCAAAAGCCCATGGCCGGAGACGTCATAGACTCTGAGCAGTAGGGGACGGGAGAAACTTAATATTGTAATACCTTTTGCTAAATGAACATGCTATCAAACTGCCTTCTAAATATTTGTGTTTATACCCATAGATTTATGCTGTTCTTAAGTTTGATTGGAGAAACGTCATTTTGCAATGGTCAATGGCTAATGCAGAGACTCATAACTGGCCAAAGTACTGAGAATAAGTGACCTATGAGTGCTCAACCCTAAATGCAACGTCTATATCAACCCCCCTCCCAATACCCAAGGCTCAAGGAACATCATGGAAGAGCAGGTGGAAAAAGTATAAGCCAGAGAATGTGGAGGAGTGCTATTATAAGTTTCTTCTGAATGTGGCATAGCTGTTGCATGCATGAACTCACAGCAGGTGTGGTTACCTGCACAAGACTTGTACTAGATAAAGCCAGTCAACATTCCAGCATGGAGGAGGGGGGAGGACTTAAAGGCTCTGTTCCTAACTGAGGAACTTCTGGCAGTTGATGGATGTTGGGTAAAGGAGAGTCGTTTTTCTTTGGAGGTGTGGCCACTGGTAGGTTGCCCATGCTTCAGTGGATGACCCCACACCCATTTTCATATGGGCAACACTAATTGGACTTAGTAGGTCATAAAATATCAAGTGGGGTTGTGTGTTAGAGAGGTCTAGAGGGAGTTGTTAGGAAATGGAGAATGGATGTGGCCAAAATATATTGTATACATGCATGAAATTTTTGAAAAATAAAAATATACAAAAGATTACATTATCCAAAAAATTAATTAATTTAATGTGTATGAATGTATTACCTGCATGTATGTAAGTGCACCCATATCATACAATTCCCCCTGAGGTCGGACGAGGGTGTTGAATCCTCGGGAACTGGAGTTAGCAAAATAAGACATACACTGACAGAATTGAAAAGATAAATGGAAAACTCTCCCAGTACTGTGGTACTGGGAGATTTCAAAACCATACTTTTTAATAATAAAAACAATAACAACAACTAGGCTGAAAGTCAATAAAGAAATAAGATTTAAACCCTTAATCAGCTATACCTAATAAAATTCTTCCAAACACTCCACCCCAAACCAATAAAATATACCTTCTCAGGTGCACATGGAACACTTCTTCTGGATAGGTCATGTGGTAGGCCATAAAAGAAGCCTCAATAAATTTAAAGTAATTGAAAGTATACAAAGAATGTTCTTTGACCATAAGAATGAAATAAGAAATTGATATTAGAGGGAAACTTAAAAATTTCTGAAATGTATTGAAATTAAATAGTGTACTGTAAATCTAGGTCAAAGAATAGATGTCAAAAGAGAATTTGGAAAATACTCGAGAGTGATGAAAATGAAACCCTTACCAAAATGGTGGAATGCTGCAAGAGCTCTTGTTCCAGAGGAGTTCATAGTCCCAAATGTCTGCATTTTTTATTTAATCTCAAATGAATTACATATATTTCCATCATAAGAAACTAGAAAAAAAGCCCCAAATAAGTACTCAGAAATGAGTTAACAGAGGTAAGAAGAATAAGTTAAACAAAATCA